TCCTTCCATTTCTCCAAACAGGCTCATTTTGCTTCAGCCCTGACTGTAGTTTTTGTGAACTCCAAGTCGTTATCATCAATCAAGGTAGATGACACCCCACTGGATGATCCTTCCTTGAAGGTGCTTGTTGCTAACAACAGTGATACTCTAAAACTGCTAAAAATGAGCAGCTGCCCTCACGTGTCACCTGCTGGTGAGTAGTTGAATATATATAAAAAAATGTAGTAGTAAAGTACAAAACAATACGAGTTTGAAACAAGTTATTCATAAAACTTGTAGTACTGTACTGTAGACAGAGGAGGTGATAGGAGTTGTCAGTAACTGGTTTGCAAGGTGTTAGGAGTGTTGCTTGCTGAGCAAAAGTGTTTGGAGGTTATAATAAAAAAAGCCCATAGAGTATATACAAATAAACCAGCAGTGGAAGACTCAGACTCTGAGTTTTTGTGGTGCCCTCATGTGTCCAGATCTGGTAGCATGAACTTGTTCATTTTAGAATTGGTTGATGAAGGGCTCAGACTCACTCCCTTCCAAAACAGGCTTGCCAGAAAAGCCCCCAGGGCTTTTGGGTCCCTTCTCATTTACCTTTCTCCTGAAACCTTGGTGCTAGGGAACGGAATCCTCATCTGGTCTTTTATATTCTTTCCCAGAGCCTCCAGAAGGGGATTTAATCTGTGTACTTTGTATTCCAGCTGATGATGAGCAGTTATGTTGTTTGTCTTAATTCAAGAAAGGATCTGTTTTAGCCCAGCTCTTAAACTAGGCTGCTGGTGGTCCCTTAAATAGAATGCATAGCTGAATGCTGCAGGAAGGAGGATTAGGGAAGGGCACAGTGGCAACTTGTGCTGCTTCTGACCTGATTTCACTTGCTGCTTCAAAGTGGAGGAGATTGTGCACGGGGAAGGAGGAAGAAAAATACACAGAGCCAAGATGAATGTGACTAATCAGAGTTGTTTTTTTACTGATAAATGTTTATGGCCAAAACCCATAAAAGGCTGCAGATATCTAGAACTTTATGATGTTTAATGAGTTTTGAGTGTAGACGTGAATACAGAAGCCAACAGAACTAGTGCTTGAGCTTTACAGCAAACAACTGGGCTTGGAGCCACGTTTTATTTTACAGAGTAAATTTTTTTTTATTCCTAAGGAATCCTCTGTGTTGCTGACCAGTGTCATGGACTTAAGGAGCTGGCTTTGAACTACTACATCCTGAGTGACGAGCTGCTGCTGGCTCTGTCGAGTGAGAAACATGTCGACCTTGAGCACCTCCGCATCGACGTCGTGAGTGAAAACCCAGGCCAGGTGGAGTTCCACACCATCAAAAAGCAAAGCTGGGATGCTCTCGTTAAGCACTCCCCCAAAGTCAACATCGTGATGTATTTTTTCTTATATGAAGAAGAATTTGATGCTTTCTTCAGGGAGGAAACCCCCGTTACACACCTTTACTTCGGCCGCGCGGTCAGCAAGGCGATGCTGGGTCGTATCGGCCTGAACTGCCCCAGGCTCATCGAGCTGGTGGTGTGTGCCAATGGCCTTCAGCCTCTGGATGATGAGCTCATCTGCATTGCAGAACGCTGCAAAAACCTCACAGCCATGGGTCTTGGTGAATGTGAAGTGACTTGCAGAGGTTTCATTGAGTTTGTGAAGATGTGCGGGGGCAGGCTCACCCAGCTGTCTATAATGGAGGAGGTGCTGATTCCAGATAATGACTACAGCTTAGATCGACTTCATTTGGAAGTCTCCAAGCATCTTGGAAGGATGTGGTTTCCTGATATGATGCCAACGTGGTAAACTCTCTGCTTTTTGCAGACAAAAAATGGTAGAATCAGGGTGTTGCTTTCTATGCAAATACAGAACTCAAAAATGAAATCTGAACCCTTATTTCCAGATTTGAGTTTTTCTACCTTGTGGACCTCTGGTAGAGGAACAACAGAACATTCTGGGATCTTAATGGAATATTGAAAATAGATGACATGTAATTAACACTTCTGAAAGTATGTCTGTGGTTTACAGGTGCTTCGAACTTCAATGAACTTGGGCTTCTCTGAGCTTCAGTTTAAATTTTCCTTTGATATTAAAAGTTTTGGGGTTTTTTATCCTGTCTTTGTTTAGTCTTTCTGACATAGTCAGAAGAGGACTAAAACTCCTTTACATTAGCAAATCTGTCTTTATGGGAAGCTGGATACAGCTTGGAGTTCAGTATTACTTGTCTTGATGTTTTATGCAGCTATTTTTCAAAATATTCATGTTATAAACATAAAAGCTTGTACATTGAAACACTTAACACTAGCCCAGGTTACACAAATATAATTTAGCTTAAACTTGTGCCAGTATATTAAAAAGTTGTTAAATAAGCTCAAGCATACAAAAAAAACCCTTTCCAGTTTTAAATTGCACTTTAATTTTGTCAGATTAACTGTAGAGATTGTGTTGTACAGCATGTTACTTTTCTGTCTTCTGCATTAAATGGCTGGGAAAGAGGCCTTGTGAAAATGAATGAATTTAAAAGGTTGATTCTCAGTTGATTCTTGAGATGAATGTCAAAGCTCATTGGCAACTGCCAGAGTATGAGGAATAGCATCTGGATTTGGGAGAATTTGGGTCTTTGATTGCACAGATTGATGTCTGAATGCTGTTCCAGGCTTTTGTTATTAGGAGATAAAGATCTCATAAATGTGACTAGTGAGAAGGAAGGATAAAGTGGAATACAGCTGGCCTTGATCACTTTTCTCAAGGACTTGGAGCACTTAAAAAATGAATTCTTTGCCAGTTAGAGGCCAGAATGGCCCCTGGTAACCTTGCCTGGATCCCACAGAGCTGTGCTGTAAACCCTGATTTCTAGACCAAGGTTTGCTGGAGGTGACCCTGAAGTTTTGAATTCAGGACTTGCTGCTCTTTACTGTTGATTTTCTTTTATATCTTTGTTTTTCTGAAAGGGGGAAAGGAGTGGTGAGTTCTCTGTATTTTTGTGTTGACATTTTGCACACTGTGAGCTGAAATGCATTGTGTACAAATTTTGCTGTAGTTCTTTTCATGGCATAGTTGTTCTGTTTTCCTATTTGCAATGAGAAATCACATTTGATTTGCTGATGGTATTTGTCACAGCAGATAAAATACCAGTTTCTCCCACACTTAGACTACTGCAGAGGTAACAGCTGAAGGGTTAAGGCACCATTATCCTGCACAGACTTGTTCCCAGTTGCAAGCTGAAGGATTTAAGACAGGATGCCTGTCTGGATCAGCAACGTGTTGCTGCCTGTTGCAGTTGAGAAGCATCTGACTCTGGTTCCTACTACCTGTTACCCAAGCACTTGCTTCCCTAACCAAGAAGATTGTAATTATCTTTTAAAGAAAAGACTGAAATATTTCTAAACAGTATTTGGTTTAAGATTTGTGGTTTGCTTTAAATGTAAACATAATAAAAGATCTAATATGTGCATTGACATTAGACTCTTCTCCATCTGTTGCACCATGTCCTCCTGTTAGGCAGGAATCTGGTTAGCAACCACATACTTGGCAAGCCTGGGGAGAGGCAGTAGAAATGTTTAACCCTTGGATTATAGCAAATTAGTCATTGTGATTTCATGTTCATGCCTCAAACTGGAGGATTTTTGTCTTGCTGAAGCTGTAAAATGGAACGTGGGCAAGTCTTGTAGATGGCTGCTAAGTCCTAAAGTCTCTCTAGTCAATGAAACAGTACTCAATGGAGTACTAAACACCAGCATTATATAGAAATGTGGTTCAGAAGGAAACAAATATACACAAATACAGTTCAGGAGGAAAATGTTAAAATAATTCTTTGACTATTGTCCCTTTCTCTGTCCCTGTTACTGAAACAGCTTTTCTGGGAAGCCATGAGTATGAGCTTCCTCTGGTTCTAAGCTTCTAGAAAAATGAGCCTGCATTTATTAATGTGATTTTTAATGCTTTTTTTTTTGTGCATTCACTCTGCTATTAGATCTTAAGACCAATTGATCCTTGTTTTTATAGCTAAATGCCAAGAAAACTGATACTTTAATCTCAATGTGAAATGCTGATTCTACACTGGTAGTGTAGGAAGCTGATTTTAATTGAAAGGTAACTTCTGACCTGAGGTTCATGTTTAATTTCATAGTGGGGGTGTAGATTTGTTGAGTGTCCTGTGTTGGTGCTGTGGTAGATGTGTTATGCTTTGGGGAGGAGTGTCAAGACAGAGCCCTGCATTAATTCTTTTCCTTCTGAAGCAGCTCTTGAATACACCTCAGAAGAACCTGGAGATTGCTGCTGCTGCCCATATTTCCTCCTACCCTCCAGTAGCTGGTTCTTCAGAGCTCTGCCTTGTCCCAGCTGAGGCAAGTTTTATCTATTTTACTGACTTTTTTTGGAATTACTGCCCTGAAAAGGCTTCCTAAAACCCCATCTTCTCTAAAGCATGTGAGGCAATGATACAGTTTGTTAGAGTAACTGAAACACTCAGAATTTCCCCCTGATCTGCTGAGGGGGTTTGTGGGGTCACTAAAAACTTCACTGTTACCCTGAGGAACTAACAGTAATGTGCCCTGCCTGCCACATGAGGGGGTGAGCTTCTCATGCTGGGTTTTCATGCTCAGAAAGCTTAAGTCATTGCTTACTTCCCAATTGTAAATGCAAAGTCCAGCAAAAACTCAAATCTTCTTTCCTTGAAACCAGCTGTTCTAGTAGGACAACTCCAAACAGCATCTGTTATGCCTTGGGGAGTGGTTTAATAAATTTCCCTCTAGTTTTCCTTAGTGCAGGTGCTTTCAAAATCTAAAGTAATCTTGTTTGTAGTAAAGTTCCTCAGCCTAAGATATGATTGCAACAATTACAAGTACTTAAATAGTATCTAAGCAGTACCTGGAACTTATATTAACATTAACACCTTGCAATATTATTTAAAGCTTGAAGTATTGAGCCAGTAGTGATGCAGATTGTTGTGCAGGAGAAGGAAAAACAGCTTTTTGGATGCTGAGGTGAATTTATTTGGGCTTTACTACATTTCCACTTCACTCTCTTTGCCCTTTCCCCCTTTCCAGGCTGCTGGTAGGATCCGAGTGATCGCAGTTCTCGACGTGAATGTGAGATGTGATCCCAGGAAATACCCTCTGCATTGGCAGCATTCTCCCAAGGACTTGTCCCTTAGAAATTCTGCCCTGGTATTTGATGGGATGGATGCAGAGTAGTTTTACACAGGAGCCTGATGAAAACAAGAGGAGGGAAAACATCAGGTGATCGCTGAAGCGTTTGTTTTTTCTGTACCATTTCAGAAAAATTAATCCTGTTTTGGCCTTTCCACTGAGATGCCAATAGTGGAAATACCAAAAGAGCAAAGACACTATGGTCATAAAAAGCAGAGTGAGTGGTTGGAGTTGTTGGCTTGGCAGAGGAGGGAAGCAGGAGGCAGGGAGAAGGTAGGAATTGCTGCTTTAGGAAAGAGAAGAGCTTGAAGGTGTCTACAGAACTCAATTAATTGCATTCTAACAGAGGAGCAAAAAAGTTCTACATGTAAATAGAGAGAGGATGCAACATTTCAAAACATGTCCCTTGCTTAATGACTTGGCTATCTGCAAGGTGATAGATACAGCTCATACCACCTCAAGACAAAGAAATATTAAATAAAAAACCAGCTGTTTACCTGGTCCTCTGATTTGGACTCCATCATCAATGGCATTTCCATTGTGGAAGAACTTAATGGGTCCAGAGAGCTCTCCAGAGAAGGGAGCATAGACAGTTGCTCCATCAGCACAGATGACATCCACCCCCTTGTGCTTTCCTTTACCATTGCGTCTGCAAACAAAGAGGGAGTTAGAGGAGTCTCTGCTCAGGCCAAATGTTATCCAGAGACAGGTGAGTTAGTGTGCTGCAAGACCTGGGAATGGGTGGCTTGTGCTGAGACAGTGGTGATGTAGTTGGCTGAAGAGTCTATAAAAGCTTTTTGGTGTAGATGATGTAATGCCAGGTAGGGTTATGATGATCTGTTAGAGTTGGAGTTTTGCAAATTGGAGGAAACAGGAAAAAAAAAGCCTTTCTTCCAAGCCTTTCAGTAGAACTGGAGAGTCACAGGAGTGTTGGTTGGTAAGGTACCTGTGGAGGACATCAAGTCCAACCTTCCTCTTGAGTCAAGACTCTTGCCAACACCAGGTCAGGTTGGTCCTGGCTTGGTCTGACTCATAAAAACCTCCAAGCACAGAGGTTTTGTGAACAAAATGGGCAGCCTGTTCTGGTGCTATGCTACCCCTGTGGTGAAAATGTTGCCTCGTGTCCAACCTAAATCTTCAAAGCTATGATTCTTAAACAGAATTTGATGTTTTTTTTTTCACTGGAGGAGTGATAAACCCCCAGATGTTTCAATTGTATAGTACCTTGGAGCTCCGTAGTACCCGCAGCCATACTTGTCACAGCCTCTTATCTCATTTGTAGGATTCCCAGAGCATATTGTTGCCCATCTTCTGTCTTGTTGTGGGAGTGGTGGAACAACTGAAATAAAGGAACACAGCACATCAGAGTTAATTTTTGGTTTCTAAGTGTTGCATGCTTGTAACTCCTGTGTTTTAATCTTGGGAGTATTCTGGCGTTACATCCCCTGTGTGTAGGTGGAGATCTCCTCCAGAAAACCTGTCATCCTTCAGGAAGAACCATCCCAAAGCCTGCTAAGATGCTGGTAGCTGCAAGGGTGCAAGGAGAAGAGATGCCTGACTGGGGTCATGGCTGAGGTTTGCTGTTCTGTCAGGGGGGGCAAGAAAGGCAACTTGGAACTTGGTGAGCTTCTCCTTCCCATAACACTGCAGGGCTGTAATGCTGTATTTAGAGTGCTTTTTTGCTTCCTTTCAGGTGTTGCTGTCATGGAACCTAAGACAGAGTGGACTATTGCTGTTTGATGCTGTTGTTCTTACCTGAAATTAATTAATAATTTCATTTTAATTCATTATAGTACCTATTCTGGGGTGGATTTTGTTGTTGTTTTTTACCAGGCGTGAGCAGATGAGTGGGGTCGGAGTGGTCGCAGTTCTCAACGTGGATGTGGGAGACAATGCCAGGAAACACTTTCTGCATGGGCAGCATTCTCCCCAGCTGCTGCCCTCTCTGGATTTGGCCGTGGTACCGGATGGGGTGAATGCAGACCAGCTTCACACAGTAATCTGGAAGAGACAGGAGGGGAAGAGAGGTCAGGAAACATCAGCTGCATCCTCTCCGGGGGCGAGCAAGAAACCTTCCCTGTGCACCTCTTACTGGAGGCTGGAATGATGAAACCAAAACGTAGTCGAGCTACTGACAATCCTGAAACCCAAATTGCATTGTTATGGAAAGGAGGATAAAAGAGAGCTGGAAAATAGGGTCAGGAAAACATCCTCTCAGCAAAATTGAGGATGTATTTTCTGATACTTTATTTTTACTCTTTCCGCTTTTTTTTTTTTCTTTCTTTGGGGCTGTTGTTTTCCTGCTCCCTGTTTTTCAGCTTCTTCCCTCCTCCAAGAAGAGCACAGGGAAAGGACTCGACCTCCTGCTGGTGCTTGCTTCTGATATTTCTCCCAGCAGCCTCCTTGTGCTTCAGTGTAGGGGTGAAAGATGATTTAACCAACACTTCGCCCCAACGGAAGAGCCCCAGAACCCTTCCTTAGGTACATAAAATACCCACTCGTGTGCTCCTCACGAGTGCTGCTGCTGACTTGCCTGCTCCCCTGATCTGGACTCCATCATCGATGGCATTTCCATTGTGGAAGAAGCGGATGGGTCCAGAGAGCTGCCCACTGAAGGGGGCGTACACCGTCGCTCCGTCGGCGCAGATCACGTCCACCCCCCCGTGCTTCCCCTTGCCACTGTGCCTGGAGACAGAAATTGGGCATTAGGGACCTCCATCAGGCTTGAGGTTCTGTGTCAATACATCAGTTAGGGCAGGAGGGGACCTGGAACCTGCCCTTTGCAAGGAAATGGGAAAGAAAGGATGGGGTTTGGTTCATCTCTTTTTAGTGCAATATGTTGCTATTACTCTGACCTTTAAAGGGGGAGGAGATTTCAAGTTTTAGCATATTTTTAGTCTTCCTAAGTTCATCAGGTATTTCAAGCTGGTACAGCAAAGTACCCTTGTTCTACCCCAATATATATATTTGTGCTGGTGTAAAAGAGTCTTACATCTGACATTCTCTCATTTAGGCATGCAGAAATTTGCATGATGGGGATGGGCACTTCTTATAGTGCCTGGTGAGAGGAGATGACAGGAAAACACGGGGAGGGCAGGAGACATTCTTGCTACAAAAGCATTTTTCAGGGAAGCACAAGCTGTTATGAGGTGCCTGCTTAAAGACAATGATGCTGGCAGAGCTTTAGCTTGTCAGTTCATCTACTGAGCTCCCTCTAAGCTGTTGCTGAGTGTCAGTGCCATAAGCAATAAGAATAAATGGCACAAATCCATGAAATACTTCCCATTTCCTTCACTCTGGCTGCTGGTTCGTGCAGTGGTCTCACCTCTTCCCCCATCCAGCTGGTAGCAGTGGTGTTGCTGCCCTTCGGTGAGATCGCCACGTAACACCCCAAAAATGGGTCAAAGGACACACAGACAAGATTCTTCTCTCCTTCTAAGCCTCAGCCCTGGTTACACTCATCTCTTTCTCCTACATTTTCTCTAGGGAAGCAGCAGCAAACCCCCTGCTCCTGGCTCCTGCTGCCTTACCTGTCAGCACCAAAGTGCCCGCAGCCGTATCGGTCGCAGCCCCGGATTCTGTTTGTGGGATTCCCACTGCAGATCTGTGCCCAGTGCCTGTGCTGTTGCTGGGGAGGGTGAGCGTCCAGCTGCCTGGCAAAAACTTCACGTGGAAAAGAGAAAAAGGGGGAAAATACAAGCAGGTTCTTAGGACAGCACAACAGAAAGGGCTGCGGTGCAGAATAAGGTGTTTTGGGTGGAAGATGTGAGCTCCTGGGGGTTTAGAATTTCAGAAACAGGAGGTAAAAGAGCATTGTGCAGCATGCTGCAGAGATTTGATCCCTTTTTCTTGAGATCTTAAGGTACAGAGCAAAGCTATAGATAAATATTTTTAATGCTAATTTGTTGAAATAAGTCAAACTAGTTCCCCTTCCTCCATGAAACCTCGAAACACCTTAATATAGAACTCTCCACACCCAATTCCATGTTTTATACCTGTGCACAGTACCATAATTCTTCTAAAACCAGCCTGAAAAAAACTTAACCATTATTTGTATTTGAGCAAATTTCACTAATTCATTAGTATCTGCCTGAAACCAGTCAAGACCAACTGCACTAGAGCAATCTCAACTCACCAGTGGACACCAAGCTGACCAGGGCAACCAGACTGAGAGCAGGCATTTTGGGGCTGTTCCACCAGTGTTCTTTGATCAAATCAAAGACATGGAGCAGTAGCTGCCTGGACTATTTATGTGGTTTTTGAAAGCCCAAGTCTCTTGTCTTGACCAATCAGCCTTGAGGAAAGGATTACAGCTCTGGGCAGGTGGTGTTCCCATATTAGGCGTTGAGGATGTCTACAAACTAGCAGTTGTTGGGAAAGATGGATAAAATAATTGGTCTCTTAGCACACAGTAACAGATAGAAACGAACAATCCTCCATTTCAGGAAGCTCTGGTTGAACCATTTCTTAACACCTTTTCTTTCCCCTCCTGAAGCAAGGGCACTTTGAGGCCAAAAGTGGCAGGAACCAAGGCTATGGTCCAGAGGATTGAGTTGGAGGGAAAAGAGGGACAAAATTCCATGGTGGATATAACAAATTTGTCCTTTGCTGCTTATTCATACAACTCAATTCTTATTAAAACATTTTCAAGGTGTGAAACAAACAGTTGAAAACCAATTGCATGGGTTAGCTAGCAGAGAGTTGAAAACCTCCATGTTTTTAAGTGATTGATTTAATATCTGCTTGATTTCAGCTCTTGTAATATTAAGCAGGCTCCTCAGTGTCTCTTTTTATGCTTCAGCTGGATTTTTCTGCACTACTTGCAGGAAAGCATTAGATTTCTTTACAGACCTGTCTTAGTTAATATGAAATTTAAAGATGCTTTCATATAAACTGTCTGATATCCCAAGTTACAGAAACCTCTGAAGTCCTGCAGGTTTTATTCAGAGTAGCAGATGTCTGCCCTGCTTCTAAAAGCATCTGTATGTTGTGTTTTCTGAAAATCACAATGGAAGATTTTCATTTATGTTCCAGCCTGCTTTTTTTACAGCAAATATTTAACCCCTAAACGATCTTTTAGCCCTCCCTGGGGTTTTTACAACTGGCTTTACTGATTTTACCCCTGCTGCTTTCTGCCCCATCCTGCTAGCAAGAACTGAGTTTCACACTCGTAGGCACCAAACAAATACTTAGAGAAATGTTATGTCCCCTCAGTCTGGTTTTGATGGGGCTTTTGGTGCTGATTTGCTCAATATAATGGAATTTGGCTTACAAATGATATGAGGTGCTGCTAAGAGCTCTCAGTGGGTATTCAGGAGTTGGGGATGCTGCTTAGCCCTGAAGTGAAACAGGGGGGAGATGGGTTTGTGTGACCCTTGCCAGAAACATCCCGTGGTGCTACAAGGTGGGAGAGCTTGTGTAATATTCTTTTCAGGCTGTTATCACCTTTGTTTGGTACCAGCTTTCCTTAGCAGAGAGAGTCAGAGGGGGGGGTGGTCTGGGTGGCATCCTTCAGTAAAGAATAAATCTGACCTGGGGCAGACCTGCCTTGAAAAGGTGGCAATTTTTACAGACTTTTGTGAACTTACACGCTCCTAATTTTCCCAGGGAAGGAATTGCAGCACCTCAATCCACTCTACAAAGCCCTACAGAGGAGAAGCTGGGTGTGAAGCCAGCCAGGCTGGTAGGGAGAGAAGCACAAGCTGTGTTACAGTGCTCAGACACTGAAGGAGCTTTTCTCTGCGTCCTGTTTTGCAGTTTGAGACTTCATAAGATGGTTCTAAGCTACCTGGTTTTGGGGATTTTTTCCATCTCTGTGTTACAGACCTGACTCCAAAGTGCACATAGCTGGTTATGGGTTCTTATATTTTCTCCCTAGGAGATCCTAACAGCATTGTCTTTTCTCTGTTCTTCCTAAAATTTGTCAAAATGTCATTGGCTACAATAATGTATCTAATGCACTTTTGGCAAAGGATTCTTAACAAGACAGTTTGAGTGTCTGATGTGATCCTGCCCCTCTGCCCCCTCTGTGAGACCCCCCTGCAGTGCTGGGGCAGCTCTGGAGTCCTCAGCACAGCAGAGCCAGGGACCTGCTGGAGCGGGGCCAGAGGAGCCCCAGCAATGCCTGCTGGGAGCCCAGCAGGAGGGAGTTGGGTTGGGGCAGCCTAAAGAAGGCTCCAAGGAGACCATCTGGGGGCCTTTCAGTACTTAAAGTGGCCTAGAAGAGAGCTGGGGACAGACTTTTTAGCGGGTCCTGTTGCTACAGGACAAGCTATGATGGTTTTAAACTAAAAGAGAGGAGATTTAGACTGGATCTAAGGAAGAAATTCTTCACTATGAGGCTGGTGCCACCCTGGCCCAGGTTGCCCAGAGATGTGGTAGAAGCTCCATCCCTAGAACCATTCCAGGTGAGGTTGGCCAGGGCTCTGAGCAACCTGCTCGAGTTGTGGATGTCCCTGCTCGGTGCTGGGGGAGTGCACTAAATGACCTTTAAAGGTCCCTTCCCACCCAAACTGTCCTATAATACTGTAGGTGAGATTTCTCAGTGCATTCCCCATCTTTACTGGGCGAGCTGGAAGGTGCAGACCTCTCCCCTTGGGCCTGAGGAAGCTCTGAGGTGAAGCTGGTGGGATTCCTGCGTTGGGCAATGAAGCCCATCATACAACGGTTGGTAGGTGCAGTTGTGAAAGAGCTGAACTGGCCACTTAGCACACCCTAACAGAAGGATATGGGACAACGGGCTGGTGTTGCACAGCCTCTGGGAGCCCCAGTTGCACCATTTCCTTCCCTGCAGTGGGGAGCAGGCAAGGAGATGGAGAGGAGCCAGCGTGCAGCCATGCAAGGAGGTTGCCTTGGGAAATGCTGACTTCTTCCTCAGTGTGAATGGTGTGAGTTCCCTCTTCTGCCTCTTTTATGTTAGTAATAACCCCTGGGCTGGCTAAGTCCCTTCAAGGTCTTCTGGTGGACTCAGATAGGGTGCAGTGGGCAAATGGGAGTGGTTGGGCTGGTGTCCACAGGCAGGGAATGGGTTAAGCCTGGTGCTGTTCAGGAGGAAGCCCAGCTTTGCTATTTAGCCTTTCCAAAGATACATTGCATTGTGTTTGAGGAGGGTTCAGTGCCAGTTACTGGGGCTTTTGGGTAGATGGAACCTGTGTCTATAAACCTGGCAAACATTAGACTGGTCCCTCTTATCATCCTGACAACCTCAACGTTATCTCTTCATGAGAAAAGTTGAACTGGATAAATGAGAGCTGGACCTCTTATTTCTTGGTCACGCCACAATATCATCACTGTAGGTTAGCAGGCAACTGGAAAGGTAAATCCTCTTCCTAGATAGTTTACAATTGGCTTTGTTCTTCTTGGCTGGTCTGATGTGGTCAGTGTGGGAACAAGCCAACACTGAGCACTCAGCTCCTGGCTGTCCTGCATGCAGCATGTTATCAAAGAACCTCCCTGAAAAATGCCTGACGTCGTGCTAAGCCTTCAAAATCAAATTATGATTTAAAAATGGACTGTAGAACAATTTACTTGGGCAATTAAGCAGCACGGGCTTTCACAGTGAAAATCAGGCTGGCACAAAGTAAACCACGTTGCACTCCCTGCTTGTTCAGGCTTCGGATGCCTTGAGGAGGCTGAGATAAGGGGAACTTTGCCACAGGGATTAATTAGCTTTGTGGATGTGGCTCCTGCTGCAGTATCAGTGGAAAATCAGCAGGTTGTGCTGGCTGATCAGCCAAAAGGCACAGTGAGGAATGTCATTTGAGTTTGAGCTGATGCTGAAGTGGTGCTGGTGCACAATTCTGATTGAAAGCTCCCTCTCAAGTTTATTTTGCCTTTATTAACATCCTTGCTAAGCCTGAGTTAGGCAGGTTTCAATGGGGAGGCTTAAGGAACATAAAATCTTTCTGCTACCTATCTCTTATCTCATAGAGAGGGCAAAGCTCTGCCTGAATCCTCCAAAAGTCCTTTAATGCTGGGGAAATAGAAGGGTATGGTGCAGATTTGGGTTGCAGCCTTAGGAAGTGAGTCTGGGACCTTGGGGTACAAACATAAAAGGGAGAGGAAGGAAAAGGATCCCTGCAGAACTGGTGCAGGAACATGATTCTGCATGGCCCACGTTCACCAGCTCTCTCCTGAAAAGCCCAGTTGCTCCCATGACTTGCCCAACACCCTTTCCCCTCACCTGGACTACTTCTAGAACTGTATTTGCCAGCCCTTGACTTCCTCACCAGAGCCAGCTACAAATGGTACTTTCCCTTCCTCTGCAGCCAGTTATTTTTTTACCAGACTGAAAAGATAAAGCTGGATTTACTTGTCCTGTTTGCCCCAGTTGCTCTGTAACCTAAAATAGAAAGTGGTATTTGCTTTTTCTTCTTTGCTGCTGGGTGACAGCCAAAAAAAAAAAGCCCTGAAAGTTTTCAGCCTTTGTCCTGTACCTCCCTGAGGCACCTGCAGGAGCATCTCACATCCCTGTGTCAAAGCATCTCCTTGGAGAAACTCAGATTAAAGAATAGCTGTGCTCAGTCAGCAAGGGCAGCTCAGCCTTGTGTTGGGGGTTTCATGGTGAAGGGGGGGTTTGCTGGGGACCTTTGCTCCTCAAACATGAGATGATAATTGACTTAAAACCTGGGATTTTAACCAAGTGCAACTTCGTGGGGAGTCTTTCTGCTGGCAGCTTCATGGCAAAGATTGCAAACTTGGTCAAAGCTGGAGAATACTGGGGACTTTGGCTGAAATGTTTCTGCTTTCACTATAAGGAAAAGTGGATTTTTTCTACAGCAAACTCAATTCCTTTGCCTCCCCTGCAGTGCCTGGCTGCTGCCTGCCCCTGCAGACTTCCATGGACATGCTGATTCTTCATTCACAGCAAAATTAAAGTGCTTCTTGGAGAAGAAGCTGGCACCCAGCAGGTTAAGCACTTTTCACAGATGTGGTAAATAGATTTCTGTAGTTCCTTAAAAGAAAGAAATCTGCCATCAGGGCACGCCCAGCTCCCTCTGAAGCAGATTCCTGGCTTCTCTGAGGCTGCAGTTGGGTTAGGAAACTCGTGAGCCTGCAGCACTCCTAGAGAACTTGAGACTCCCAGTAGCATGTTGGTAGCCTTGGCCTGAGGAGCCCTATCCTGTTAGCAAGAGCTTGTTGTCCTGGGAAAGTCTTCAGCTGATTTACTCATGGAAAGAAATGCTTCACTTGGACAGAAAGCAACCTGGGTGTGCCA